GTAAGATCGGCCCGAAACATGGGTGCCAAAAACAGACCCAAGTTTGGACTGATCCAGGGGCAGATCGGTCCAAAGTAGAAGGCGGTGATGAAATTCACATAACCCTGGAATTTTTTGGGGTGATGTTAACCTGGCAAGACTATGCTTTTGGTGGCTGATCCACCCCTAGATTGGTCCACTGATTTGGCTTTACTATAAGGCTATTGTTGGGGCCAATTGCAAACCAGTTTTGCAACCACAAACCGGGTGACCCTTAAACGGTACTGCCGCACCTAAATTTCTAAACTGCCGAAGGGTTTAGGGTTTAGGGTTACGCATTTTTGGTTTCAAATTTGAGTATTTTTCTCCAAAATTCAATATTACAGTATCAAAATTTTGAATTTCTTGACTGAAAAGCAGGAAACTGCGCACTGATTATCTCATGTTCTAGCTTTGGCTTTGGCTGCAGGTTTGGCTTTGCCACGTCCCTTGCCTTTGCCTTTCCTCCCCTGAGATGTCAACGATGCTTTGTTTAAAGCTTGTTGCGAGAGATTCAAGGCCGTGTCCCACGGCACCCCTTCTACCCACAGCTTCGCTGCAGACTGGAAAACTTCTGCGTTCTTGTAGTTTCGGGCCTGTTGTCGCCAGTTGCTGGCAGGCTGAAGCCTCACAGTCATTCAAAAAAATCACTGGCAAGCGGTCAATCCACTGCATCATGTAAAGACTGCGAAACTGAACACGCGCACAAACCAACTGGCAAGTAACATCAACTGGTTTTGCAAAACAGCAAAGGAAGTAGTCCCAGAAAAAGGATTCGTCCATCGAGTTTCTTCAGGCCGGCCACGGCAAAGAGATGACCTGACTGACAAGTTGAAAGGGGAAGCGGCACCGAACAAACATCAGAAGAATCATGTGGTGCTTCGGGTTTTGAAATGGTTATCAGTACCAAACCTTGAATTTTTATATGGTTATGGCAAGCGGCAACAATGTATAACAGTCCTGTCTCTGTATTTCAGCCGGGCTACGCACTCACATCCAAAGGCGGTTTCTGGGACAAAGTATCATTGATCCAGGCTTCAAGATAATCGGCTGCTTTCCCAAAGCCGAATTCGGGAAGCCGCAGCATGGGAATGTACTTCCGGATCTCATCCCTGTAAGCCTCCCCAATGTCGTTCTTCTCCGCGATGACTGGCGAAAAATCAGTGCAGCATGGTTGAACTTAGACCAAATGGCACAAGTCAAAATTTCCTTGAAGCGATAAGCTTATTAGGAGTCAGTACAAGTGTGCATTGCAGTGTTGACAGTGTGCAGCATCAGCAGCAAACTCACGGACACAAAGTGGGAAAAATAAATTCAAGATTGATTGCACCGCCTGCTGGCACACCAACGGGCAAGCGGGTCAAGGCCCACATCCGCGGCAGAAACAGAAAGCAATGGCTGAACACCTTATCGTGCATCCACTGCTTCGTCCTCAGAGCGCATGATGAGCAAGCGATTCAACAAAATCGAGCGAAAGGGCGGAGAAGTTCTCAAAGGAGATCTAATCTATTGATTTTCACGACACGTACACTGAGGCAAGCACATCAATATGACATCATGAGGGTGTTCGTCGCAGTTCCACATTCGGTTCTGGATGGGGGGCAGCTTCTCACTAGATCCTGGAGCATCATTTTGCTTGGCCAATTGACTACTGAAGCAAAAGCAAACACACTGCCGCAGCTGTTGTAGGGGCCCGGCCTATGTCCACCCGCCGGACAAACCGCATCAGATGGGGGGCCCCTGGCCCGCCCACCCCTTTCAACGCAATGGGTATGGACTCCATCAGCCACCCACGCCTCAAGCAAACGTTTCTGCGGGCACAAGGCACCAGAAGCGAGGGTAAAACTGCAAGCACTTTCTACATTGCTTTTGAAGTGTTGACATGAACGTGGCCAAATTTATCAAAGGTACCAGTCCCTGGTGGAGTCGAGTTTGTAACACCGCCGGAAAGCCTCGTGAGGGCGATCCACATGGCCAAGCCAGTCATTCAAGCAAGCCACCACCTCATCTGAAGATTCAGCGCGATGAAGTCTTCTTCTGATCCAATCTGCGGCTTGGCCGAAACACTGGTCCAGATCTTCGTGGGAATGCCCACTCCTGAGAAACGACAAGTTTATCTCCTTCACGCGGTGGTCGCTGACCAACGACGCGGCCCACCGCATCACCATGCCATTCTTCATCTCCCTACAGGTGTTGTCTCCCTGCAGCGTCACTGACGCTGCAGGGAGGTTGTAGCCCTGACCTTGTAACACTGACATGGTGTGAGAAATCACTTCAATCGAGGTGTTGGAGTCTTTGCAAAGGTTGCCCTCACTGACGTAGAAATTCAAGCACCAACCGTGGCCCAGGGTTGCACAAACGTGGAGCCGTGGACGGCTCCACGAATCAAACTGCTTACTGCGCATGACAGGGTGCCTTGGTAGGCTGAATTTGCCTTGGTCCATCCCGTCGCTCATTATTACAAGCTCCAGGCCCCGTGCGCGGGACAAGCCACGTTTCTGCCAGTAGCAGCATCGGTCATGAAATTGTGCTCTCAAATGCTGGTAGAGCAGGTCCTGCTGCATTTTTCGAGCCACCAAGTGGTGGCCCAAGCCTTGAACAAGCGACTTGTGCTTCACGCACTCCGAACAAACCGCGTGACTGGATGTTCCCCGGAATTTCATGAATGAAAATTGTGATGCCCAGACCTGGCAGGTCTTGGAAACAGGAGCGCGCCAAACAAATAGAGAGTTTGATGCTGCGGCTCAACCGCGAACCTTCAGCGCAACATCAACCAAAAAAAACAACTGAAAAACGATCGAAGCAGAAAGTTGCTATCAAAGGCGAAGCGCGCGCCAGAAGGTTGGGAAACTCGCCCCAGGGCCGTCAGCCTGCTGTTTGTACTGCATCCAGTACTCTTTCATGGTTCCCGGCGGAAGCCATCGGACTTCACACCCAGCTTGTACTGTTCGAGCTGGGTCAACTGCCACCCCACCTTTGTTCTTTTGCGTTCTTGTCCTTGGCTCCTTGGGTCGCATCTTCACCTTCTTGGAGCAGTCTTCAACATGATTTTGCTGTTCTTCTGCAAGAACAGCATAGGGGTCCATCTCACTGTCATAGGTTTTGTCCCGGACGTCGGGCAAGTTTTCCGCCACAGAGTTGTAGATCTGCTCCAGAAAGGAAAAGATCTCATTGAAAAGCTTCGAGTCTAGATGGACATGCTTCCCACGCTCGAGGTAGCGCAAATCAACAGGGGCAGCCTGGTCCCCCTTTTCCACCGCTGCTCGGATTCGGCCCAATCGCCCACTTCCTTCGAGCGACTTGGCCGTGTGAAAGCCATGGTATGTCACATATCATGTACAGTATCCGAATCAACCGATTCAATAGCATCAACTTGCGAAACATAGAGGAAGAGATGGAAGAAAATTACTTCCCAACGCCCTCCGTCAATATTCACAGACAACAAGAAGCCGATGCCATGCAAAGCCTTGAAGCATCTCAAGCAAACAGGGTGGCCCAGAAAAGTCCAAGCGCGGCGGCCCTCGGATTCAGCATCCAAGATCTCCCGCACACGTTGAAATACCTTAGAGGCCAGCCTCCAAAATCAAACGAACAAGTTTGCAAGACTTCCGAACATTGATAAGCAGAGAGCACCAACAGGACAAGGTGCGACAGCATCTTGGTCGATTTTGTGCGTCTGCGTCCACTCCTTCCTGAAATCAATGAGGTCTTGCATGGCCTTTGTTCTTCTAAATGGATCACGGCACCCTGACTTGCATTTGGATCCATTTCGGGCAAGCGTGCCCTGAATCTGTACAGTGTCATCAAGCTTGGCACGCTTGGCAGAAGCCAAGCGCGAAGAACCTCTCTTTTTGGAAGTTCTTTTTTGAACTTTCTGCAGCCATTCTTCATCAGTCTCTGAGCTGTCACTTAAGTTTACCACTGCCGGAATCGAACATGGCTCGTCCATGCCAGAAAGGTTTCGATTGACTAACATGAAACACCACATTCAAAGATTCACCTGGCCAGGTGAATATGATGAGAACTTGGATTTCAATGGGAACATTGGTTTCCATTCTGTCCGATGGCCCTTCAAGGCCAAACCGTGGACTCGTGGACACATAGTTTTGGGCAATGCGGCAGGCATCCCAGGAACCGGGATGGCGAAAAATATCAAACAAGCTTGGAGATCCGGCCATGCGTGTACACTTGCCAAAGCTATTTTGCATCTTAATGAACTGCTGCGTCTCAGCAAGGTGCACGCTCCGAATTTCATGGAAGCCCAGCTTCTCAAGCAAAATCATCAAAGCTGAGAATGACAAAAACTACTCACTCAACACAGTGTGGCCAAGCTGCGAACACAACTTGGCTCATGCGAAACAGAGGCTTCTCGAACCCTAAGTTCAAAACTAAGACTTGGAGACCCTGTGAGTTCTCAGCAAGATCTCTGCTCCCAACATTCCGCACTGTGGGATCACGATGTTGCCCAGGAGGCGCATCCGGGAGGTGTATGTCTCCCGATCCTCAGGGGTACGTAGCAACCAGCTGTCCATGGGGATGGAGCTTCCTCCGTTGAACTCCGAGTGCAAAAAGCTTCCCAAAGGCTGTAGCTCAAGGTCCTGGTGCGGAACACGCGGAAGTGTCTCAAAACATTCGGGTCCGGTCACAACACCTTGGAAAAGACAAAAGAATAGAATCACAGACACTCAATGTGAAAAGCATTTGGCCTCGACTCAATGTCCTAACAACAAAAATGGACTACAGCGGCGCTGTTCTTTACTAGGGGGCATGTGGTAGGGGAAGGGTCAAGAACCCAACATCACAAAGGATGTCTTGGGACATGTTGAAACTCTGAAATTTCAAGCGCGTGGTGAACAAACCCAACCAGATGGCGCAAAAGCACAGGAACATTTATCTAGACATGAGAAAGCGTGCTACAAGCACATGACTTTGATCAACTTCGCATTGCGGAAAGCCATCCAACAGAAAAGCTATCTCCGGAAATATTTCCAATGGGCATAGATACGTTGCATGTGGGTAGGGATGAGCCTGGCTGCGAAGAGAGGGAGCATGGAGCGCTGAAAACGGATAACGAAGAGAGGGGGCATGGAGAGTTGAAAGCGGATAAGTGGCACACAGAAATGATAGAAATGTTAACGTACGCTTATGATTCCTGATAATGAATAGCTGAATAGCTCAAACATAACATGGTGAACTGCGCATGACTCAACGCAAGCTACTACTTCCTGCGCCCATGTACAGGCCCATACAGGCTCATACACTTTAAACAAGAAGCAAAAGGCACATAAAGAAATCGAAAACTCAGAATTCAAAGTTGTCCTTGAACAATTCAACTCCTTTGCGGATGGCCCAAAAGAAGACCCGTTGACGCTGCGCCTGGCAAACTGGTTCCGGGGGTGGCATATCCCAGAATGAAAGGAAGCTGAGGTTCTGGCCGGCAGTCCAACATTCTCCACTGCCACGCTTGACCACATGAGCTCAAGGTTTCGAGCAGATGTCTCCTGCGGTGTCGCCAACGACACAGCCGGAATTTGAAGGTCCTCCCCAGTCCTGCACCAAGTAATGCATGACTTCCTTTGTGTTCAAGTTGTTGGACAGGATCCCTTTCACATTCTCGAGGTAGAGTAGGATCCTGACAGGTCAAGTCAGTGCCAAAAATGTCGAAGGAAAACGGAATCAGAAACAATCAGTCCATCAATCAATCAACGCTGAAAAAAACAACACAGTCAAAGCATCATCATGACAACCATCACCAGCGCCAAATCACTGCCCCCACATGCACCATCACCATCACCATCACGGCTGTCATCAGCATCATCCTCAACATCAAACATCACGATCATCACAAAATCCGATCTCCTGACTATCATGCACAAATATCATCATCACCAGCACCACCATCGTCACCCTCAGCATTGCTGTAATCATTCTCATTGTCCTTATGATCTTCATCAATCAGGATGCTTATGATAATCATCAATCGGGACGATGAAGATCAAACATATCCAGGGCCTTTGTGCGCGTGGTAGATCGTCGAAGACCCTGAACAACTCCACCACCAGCTGTGACCTCTCATCTTGGAGGCCCTCCTGGTGGCCCCCAGTGGAGATTCCCTGCCACCAATGAACTTGAAGCTGAACTGACTCTCACGCAACGAACGTGGTTTCTTGACAGTTTTTTGATCAAGGTTTGTTGGGAATGAAACCGCCAAGCGCAGTAACAACCCTGCCTGGCAAGGAAATCCTCCTCCACATCCCATAGCCGTTGTGCCCCTCGGAACTTTGAAAGTTGATACATCCTCCCAAAGGCCTCCCCGGTGCAGATACCCTTCATCCATGCGAGCTTGCAAAACTTGACGCGCATAGGGATTGATCTCGACCTAAGTGTGTCACGGCCACACAGGAACCCCAAGCCCCTTGGCAGAAAGCTTCCACACACTGACTGATTCATCTGCAATCTGAGGAATGCGCATAGTCTGTTGCAAACAGGTACCTAATTGCAAAGCCATCTCTCCAACGCGACCATGATGAGCTTTTTCAAAGGAAAGCAACTGACTGGTCAATGGACTTCGACGCTGATCTAGATCTTGAATATCGATTGGCATTGTTTCTTCTGCTGCTGGCTGAAGTCTGTCTCTGTCACTGTCAGCTGCGGCTGTCAACATTCACTGTGAAACTCATCGCCAAACTTGAGACTTTGGGTACAGTGGTTTCACCAGCTCCTGCCACTCATGCCTGGCCCAGCACCACACCCACCTCAGGCACAATCCCTTCAATGTGAATTAGCTAGTGAGGAACAAAACAAATTTCAAGGCCCGAACTCCTTTCCATGCCATCTCGTGACAACGGTGCACCCGCGTTGGATCCTGCCAATCTCAGACCCCCGGCTAGAACCGACATCAAGCAACACTGACAAACACAGCAAACAAAAACAACAAGCGGTCAACTCATAGACAAGCTGTCCTGACTTGGTTGATGCCCACGGTTCGAACAGTGCCCATTGGGGCGTCAGCAGTTTCTGTTTCTATGTCCATGCGTTGTCGTTTCTCCGGGGGCCCAGCCATGGCTATGGAACTTCAAAGAGAAGCGCGAAACGAAAAAGCCCTCATGACTTCTACAAATTACTTGCGACATGTTGCAACTTGTATTTTCATTTATGCATCCTCAGAACGAACATCTCGGACCTTCACAGCTTCAAAAAACAGTGCTGACTTCGAAAAAGAACGGCATCAAATTCAAAGCGAAATGTCTACACTCAACCACACCCACTGCAATGCGCAAGAAGTTCCTGACCACTGAAGCTGAGAGCCAGGCCGTGACATGGCCAGTTCTAAGGCCCCACATCCAGCAAACATGGCGATCACAGGGACCTTCCCTTCAACCTGATACATTTTGGAAGGCTTGCGGTGGCTCAGGCATCAAGAGTTCACGACCTTAGGGCCAGACCTTCCGAGCATCGGGAAAAGCAGCATCAAAAGCCGCAGGCGACACAAGGCCGCGGTCGGTCGAGGTCCAATGAGTGGGCAGCCCACTGAACCATTCCCCTGCAGCTGGCGCTATAAACCTCCCTTCCAAGTGGGAGCGTCCGGCTTTTTCACACGCAAGCTTGTAACGTTCAGACCATCGGATCTGATTGGCAAGGTCCTGGCAAATTCTCAACAAACCATGGAGACTTCACATTCTGTTTGGCCCAGCACCAGCTCGAAACAAGCTTGGGGAAACATGTGACAGATTTGGAAATATGAGGAAACATGATGTCTGAGCCGGCGACTGATATGCCTCTGCTTGACGGTGTAGCAGAAGCGCAAAAAGTTGCTGAATAGCATCCTGGTCAAATTGGCAGCTGCTTAGTTCAAACCGGAGCAGCTGGGGCGCCAACTGATTGAGCTCCACTTCTGAAACGTTCGCGCCCCTTTAAAGATGCCAGTCTTCGACACCTTCTTCTTGGATTTGAGCGGTTTCGACTGATTGGCCTCAAAAAGCTCGAAACTTGACATCGGTTTCAGCATGGCATATCAACGCACGGTTCCTGGCGTGGAACATCACCGCACGAACACTCACCAAGTTTGCAACAGATCTGAGATCCCGGCACCTCGCTTGTAGACTTTCAGCTGTAGCTTGGCTGCTTTTGCCAATTTCAAAGCAAAAGACTTCACAATTACGCGACCCTTTTTTGAGGTTTCTAACAAGCCAAATTTGGGCCACTTGCTCTTGCCAAACTTCTCGACGCAAACAGTGGCGGGGTTCTGAAATGGGTCACTGGCTGAACTGCTGGCCTCTCTCTTGGCTGGCTTCTTCATCTGCTTCTGCGGCTTCATGTTGGAGCCCTGTCAAGCAATTGAAATGCACATTAACTATGTACCTATTTAAATAAATATATATGTATAACATATCCTCAAAATGACTGTGAAACAGTTGCCAGAAAAATGTTGCTGAAAAGTTGATCATATTACGAGTCAAAAAATGAGCGTGACATAGAGTGATTGAACCTTCTTCTTCATTGCAAGTGGTTGCTTTTGTCTTTGTTGCTCTTCGGTCCTCAATTCGTGATTTCTGGTACTAAGCTAAGTTGAAACCATATCAACCGGGATCAACAGCTCACAAACAATGAAGACTGTGCTGTGACACAGCGGCTCAAAAAAAAGAATGTTGGGGCACGGGCTCACTGTCGGAGAGAGCGTTCACAACGTTGGAAGCAGGCATGTCGCGTCGGCTGACTAACTACGCTACAAAAGCAAGCAAAACACTGCAAGGCATCAGTTTTTTGCTCTGTCTGCAACGCATCTCATTGCAGCATGGACAAAGGTGCTGAAAAACTTGAAACGAAACACTGACGAAGCGCTGAAAAACTTGAAATGAAACAACGATGAGAATACCATAGAATTTGCTGTGGCTGGGCTCAAAGTGACGACACCCAGCCTCCAAAGGAGTTCCGAAGCACTTGCGAAGCCTTGCCCAGCGGTCACACGAACGCATAAGACATTGCAGCTAGAATGGTGAACCTCAATACGATTGTGGAACTCACGCATAGTGAAAATGTTGAAGGTCAAGGGCGACACCCATTTCAATCATTCCGAATCACACGTAAAACCGACAACCTGACAGCCTGGGTTCGCGATTGGAAGCCATTGAGATCCATGCGAAAAGTTACCAATGGCCTGACATCGGCAAGAACCGCCAACCTGTCTGAAATTGAAGTCGCCACAGTAACTGAACATACACCCGACTAGCAGCAAACCCTTTCAATACCACGTTGAAACACGCAAGCTTTCAGTCTGAGAGAGCTGCACCAGACCAAAGAAGAGGCTACCGGGCCTCAAAAATCTTGATGCGCGGGTCTGGTCCAGTCCTAAAATCACTACGCATGTGGTATGAGGGACTTTGACATTTCACTCTCACCGTGGCTTGTACGCAACACAGAGTCCCTGACACAGCATTCACAGCATCCTGGGGGGAGAACTAAGACGGACGGTCTGATCATCTAACCAGTTGCTGCACAGCTCTGCAGTGCCTTTGTCTGGGTAAGGCCACCATCACACCTGGAGTCTTTCCAAAAAAACTGAACAGGCGGCACATCACCAGACCTCAACCATCATGGCTTCATCGCAGGCTTAGTTACTTAGTTCCACACCACAGCCACGAAGTTGAAGGTAAGTCTCCCTGACCTGGGCACGCATTGCTAGTGGTCTCATGTTGTACAATGCACAAACGCATGCACACACACATGTACATGTCGCATGTACGTGTATACATGTACACACATCAATACACGTACAAATCAACTTACACATCCCTTAAATACATCATGACACGAAGACATGCATATACCTTTGCATATGGATAAACACACAACGTAAGCATTTACATTTTCACACATTCACATGGACATATACATATACTTTTACAAATACATCATACATGTAGACATACTCAACTGTGCATGCTCAAGGAAAAATGTATGAAACTTCATGGACAGGTGGAACCAAAACATCCGAAAATGAAGTTAACATCCTCAACTGCAATCAACATCAAGACCTATATGAACCTATGAAGCTAGCCGTCCTGGAAATCAACAACCCCTGACCTTGCAAATTTCAGGCTCGCACTGTCCATCAGAATCCGGAGGAACGGCGAAGGGCTCGAAGACGATTGCGACCTGCACAGAAACAATCATGAAGCATGCTAGCAAAAAAAATAAAGAATTGAACACACGGTTGATGAAAGAACGGTTCAGAGTAGAAATTCGACCAACTTATACCCCACCTCTGGGTAACAATTTCTGGGAAGAAAAGACATCAGCTCGACCGAGGCCTGAAGAGAGGCCGAGTTCAGAAGCACCATGCACAGAGACTGACACTGACACCCAACACTTGAATTTCCAGCTCTCATATTTTTGAAACCTTTCTCATCAGGCGGCGCTCATCCACGAACAAAATAATAAACACTGAATCACCGGTTAGCCACCTGTGGGCAAAACGGTCCGGGCAAAATTTTCACAATCTTGTAAAAACAAAATCATGTCAGTTAAGGAATCGAAAAGGCCACAATCTTCATCCACCCCGCACTGCAATTCAATGAGGGTTTGTTTCCCACACGCAATATCTTCTGTAAGGACGTGCAAGAAAGGGCATCTCTCCAACATGGCAATTGGTTGCTTGTGAGGGCTCTGAAGGGTGCACAGTTTCGCATGTTCATTTCCATAATCATAGTTGAAGGGGACACAGCGGCTTGACTGTTGAGCTGATCATGATCAAAACCAATTTCGGCCAAAGCCAGCCGGAAGACTGTGCATGCCCGCCAAAGGTGAGGCAATGTCTCAAGTCTGGCGCCCACATGCTCCAACAAAGCCTGAACCGCTTCCCTCAACGATTCCACATTTTGCTCAAACTGGGCTCGGGCCACATCATCAGGAAGCATCCGATAAAATGTTAGCATCCTGCATAAAAGAGAAAACATCATACAAAACGCGGGCATCATATCGCCAATCAAAACTGAACTAAGGACTTTGAGCCAAAATTCCTTTCCCTGCCAACTTCAAACAAGGGAAAATAACAATAATCAATAATGACCTCCTTGCTTCAACCTCGCAATCGTCATGCCCACTTGTCCTCTCATCTCTTGTTAAATGAGCGACGGTGATAGCCTCTCAGGGCCGCACCACCTTCAAGATACAACGGTTCAGGCAGCGGCTGAGCAAAAAAAAGCAACGGGGCTGCCGAAAGTAAGGTTGCATTTTATTGAGCGCTCCTGTCATTATGCTAAGTAACTTTGAAGCTGCCACATCATTAAGTTAAACAGACCAAGGGAGTATCTTCCAAAGAATGGAATGCTGCCTGCACACAAAATAATTGCACGTGTGAAGGCACTAAGAGTAAAAAAACAGTTCAAAACAAAGCAACAAAACACAGTTTCTTCGAACCGTTGACCCCACCCAGGTACGACAAGGTCATAAGTCTGTACACGTTTCCAATCACAAAGAACAATCAGAAGTCTGCACATTTGACATGTCTCCAAGAGCACATTTCATGCTTCCAGTCTCAGAGTGAACATCAGAACAGAGTCAACATCTCAAGTCAGACAGTGTAGCTCAACACACTTCCAGGCTGAGCATTTGGAACCTCAAATCATTTGGGAACCCCAAATCACAAGAAATAACCTTTCTGCCAGAGTGGCATTTGTGACTCGCTTGGGACCTGCCTTCTTTGGGGCAGCGGTCTTGGGAATCGTCTCCGGCTCTTCTCGAGCACTAAAAATGCACACGACCATCAGCGCCAGTTGCCCACGTCAAAGCCATGGACAAAAGCTCCTGAGCAGCCGGCATAGCGTTAGGAGCATTCTCAGAAAAGGAAACCACATCAATGAGGGAGTCCGTCACGGGCTCATACTCCCTCAAAAAGGGCAAGACTGAATTCGTGAAATCTGCAACAAGGACCTCAGACTTGAAGCCACTCGAAAAGACATTCCCTAGCTCGTCCTCTTCCAGTATTATATCAACTTCAAATGTAGTGGAAGGCCCGAGCAAAGCATCTTCTGAAAAACCCCCAAGAGGTGAAAGGAACTCCTCCTGGAAAATACCAAGGAACTGCAAGCATCAATCCTCCTCGACGAAGATCAAGGGGGAGCGCAAAAGCCTGAATTTTTGATCCCGTAGCTGCCATCTCCGATGGAACTGTAAAGATGAGCAGCGATGGGTCCACATGCTGTGAAGCTACCGCGAGCTGATGCCGTTCCATTTCCACAAGGGAGGAACAGGCGACTTCGCTCCTGCACAGAAAATGTGCAGCTCGGTAAGCGAGGGAAGCTTCTCAATGAAGACGATGTCAGGGAAGTCCCGCTCAAGCTGCTGGCAGTCTCGCTGCGATGACACTCGAATCAAATCAAATCCGTCTCCTTTTCTCAACACCCAATGGACAGGCGGCAAGGTCGGCCTGTAGGTACTGCGGTATGGGGATCGAGAAACCCAAAAGGCCCTTGCCCAATGCCCGGCTCCGAATGCTGCCCTTGCCCTGTCTTCTGAACTAAATCTCGAAAACGTGAGGTGCCTTTTGGCAGCGTCCACACAGAACTGAGGGGTGTCTGGGGGACCCTCTTCGAAGCTGAAGAGTGCGTCTCGGACCAAAAATCCAGTAGGTGCACCTGGAATGGATCCACTCTCCTCCACCAATTCCCACAAAGCACTAGCCGTCCGCTGTCTATCCTCCAGACTGCTACTCCCTCGAACCGGACTTTCGTTCACCAGATCACGCTGGCGGAGGACCAATGTTAGATCTCTGACGGCCTCAGTAAGCTCCACAATCTCCTGTCGCAGGCCAGAATCCTCACTCGCGCAAGTAGCCCTGCAGGCGAGAAGGAGGTCGACGGCGGAGCGGCGCGTTCGCCGGCTCAGCCTGATGAGATCTCACCGGGAAAGTGAGGGAGCAAAAAGTCCACGAAAAAGTCCAAGGAAAAGTCCAAAGGTCAGGCCAGAAATCCAAGGGACCAAGGTGGAAGGATAGGAATGTGCAGGACAGGACAGCGAAGAGGAGAAAGTGGTGGCGAAGGCAAGACCCTCAGTCAGCACAGCACCCCAGTTCATGCACCCTCTTGAGCTTGAGAAGGCAACACCCTGTCGTAGTTAATGGACATATACATATATACGCACACACAAGTGAAACCATAGATATGAGAGTATGGGTATGGATGAGCACTAATATGTGAGTGACAAACACTTGAGACCACAAATACTAGTCACTAGAGCACGGGCATGAGTGAGCACACATGAGGGCACACACATTGACGTGAGAGCACACATTTGAGAGTCCACACATCAGCTCTCTGCAATGGCACTGTTCAGAGAAATTCTCGTTCATTGGAGCAACCCCCAAAGAAGCCAAGCCTGAGCTCGCCAAATCCTTTGGCGACGATCTATTTGCAAAGCAAAACGCAAAAAAGTCAAAAAGTGAGAAAAGTCAAAAAGGTTTAAAGGAAACAAAAGCACGCAGCGAGAGCAAATTAGAGTGCTTAATGAATGCGCGGGTTCGTCCAACGCCATTCGGTTCATCATTTCATCAAAACTCTTGTGATAGCGATGAGAAACATGTTCTAAACATCCCTCCGTTTCTGCCATGTCTGCCGCCTGGCCGATATAGCCAAATGCCAACCAACTACCACACTCCGCGGCGCGCAAGAAGACCTTCTGCGAAGAGATGCTGCTGATCCTAGGCTTCGACACTTCGCTTCACCGGTTCTGGCTTTGATCTGAGCATGCCTTCTGTTCACTTTACATCTTTACCGGATGATGGGTTGCTTGCCAGTGTACAGCTTTTGGCACACCAAAGAGCTACTTCCATAGCTACACAATGTAGAACAAAAGGCTGCTGTATGCTGTGGAGGACAGTAAGTCTGTACTGTAAGTCCTGCCCAATCAGCTTCCGCTGCCAAGATGCCAAGGCAGCAGCACGCCGGCTGCCACAGTGAAGCGGGACACCGCGTACCTCATAAAGGAAACAGCAAAAACGGATGGCAAGACGCCTGAAATTTATGAAACACAGAAACGCTTGCAGGCTTGACACCTGTAAGACTTAGCCGGTCATGCTGCATCTTACTGGCTTCATCTAAGGGGCATCTGCGTGTTGACACCGGGCTGAGCTGTGATGTCCTGGCTTCTACGTCTTGATCAAAGAAACCCGTTTTGCTTCTCAGGTGTTTCGGGAAGCAACGTGCAAGACTTGGGCATGCATGGTACAAAGCATACGATGGGTATGTATTAAAAGTGATTCAACCGATAGCTTCTCCCATACTGCACATCCCACCTTGATTACTGCGAAGTTTGTAGCCCACAGCATAGTAAGAAACAAGATCACCGCACGCCAAAGCCAGCCGGGAAGAGAGGAAAGCCTCAGAGATCAGGCATGTCAAGAGCTGGGCTGGGCAGGTTTGGCCTCAAGACGATGCAGTGACCCAGGATAGAATCAGAATGATGTCCGCCCGGTCCGCTGCAATAATATTGCTACAAATTCAGCCCTTCCAACAAGACCCATAGCCCTCATTTCAGCAAGTTGCCAACTATCCAGCTCCGCCGTCTTCGTCGAAAAGTCAAGCTGCGGGGGGGCTACGGTCTCCCTGAGAACAAGAAAGCCGGCATATCTTCGGAGCAAATAGATCTGGGCATGTTTTGCGTGCGTCCCTTCATCAAGCTAGCTAGTCCAAAAACCATACTCAACGACAAAAAAAATGGGCCGGTTTTGGCAAAATCTTTGCATCAAAGGTACACTGGACCATCGTGCCGAGCTGCTACTGACTCCTGGAAGCTGTCACGCTCAAATGATTCACGCAGTTATTGATTTGTGTCAATTGTGTCAAACACAACAAAACCAATGCAAAACATCAACAGGTCAAATCTTCAAAGGGTAAGTTACTGCACGGTAGATGGGTAAACTGGATCAAAGGATGGTTCGAGAGCCGGTGGTTTATGTCTGTAGGTTGCCAGCCTTGGCTTTGGTCGTCAACCTTGGTGTTCCTGGATTACTCACGAAGCCTGTACCTGCGCCGAATCAAGCCCATGAGTTTGGAAGTCCGCAGAAGCGATTTGAACAAGTCACACGCTGGCATTGCAACGGGCAACAAGAGAATTAAAACTGTGCGTCCCAAGACATCCCAACCATGTCAAATCTAGAAGCCCGGGCGTCATCCGGCTTCCGCCTGCACACACAGCCAGCGCCACACAAAGCAACACCTTGCGCAGCGCCAGGGGGCCAAAAGAGTCAAAGACCAAGACCCAAACAGAAAACAAAAACTCAAGAAACCTTCAGGTCTGATCGTGATGTGTTGCCAAGCGCATGAATGAAGAGCTCGTTGCGGTTGGACAGTTGGCAAGTTCAAACAAGTTGACAGAAAACCAACCAACATGTTCGCCTCAAAATTCACTAGCCTCTCGGAACCCAATGCAACGAAATAGCTTCACTGAGAGTGCGAAGCGAGCGTTTTTCCTGATTGGCTTCACAAGTATTGATCATTCTAATCAGAGCTTTGTTGTAAACCACAAGAGGCTACATCATATATACATGGTACGCACACGCAAGTGCAGCGGCTAAACGGCTTCAGGAGTAGCTCTTCGAGCTGCGAGTGAGATCCTAGCCGGCCTACCGTCACACCATGGACATCAAAAGCAAGATTCCACGCGTGAGCAGCGGAAACCACAAAACCAACTAAAGCATGCAAAAAGCAAGTTACACCGCAGACAAAGAGGTTTCCAGTAGCAAATTTGAGCCCAAGCTCCGTTGCCAAGCTCCCGAGGAGAGAGGAGCCAAGCGCCACTCGCAGCGCTGAAATGGTACGCAAAAAGTTCATGGAGAACATGGCCACAGCAGTTCTGGGACGATGCCTGGTCTGTCACAGCGCCTCAGCCGTGGCTCCAGGCGTTGCAAGAGCACAGACTTGTCAACTGCATCGAACTTTCACCAGCATCTTCAGTTCAAGCCAAAGGGTATCCTTTTTGGCCTGTGAAGATCAAAAGGACAATGACATGATCGATGCCTCATCTGTCCTTGAGATTGCGGTGAAGTAGGTCCTGCCGGTGTCCTTACTACCTTTGGATCGCTTGGAACGGTTGCCTTTCGCAGACCCTTGGAGAACCCTTGGAGCTACCTTTTGAGTCCTTGGCGATCGAAGGCGGCGACGTTGGAGTTGGCTACATGTCCAGGTCTATTGAAGTAGGGGCAAGCCGCAAGCCTTGTCTTGTCCTTGCCTTTGCCTTCAACATAGTCAATGTCCATTGGACCTCACCACCATCGTCAACCGTACTCTGAGAAGCTTTCTGTTCCAAGAAGCTCGCTACTTATATTGTCGCGGCTGTTGTGGGGGTCGCGTGTGTTGCAAAGCCTGCGTCACGTTGAATACCATGTCTTAGGGCGTACCCTTGCTTCGGAGGAGCCGTGTGCAGCAAGAGCTTCAGAAACCTCTGCCTCATCGGCACGAAGCTCCACGGAGGTCTTGTCTGCCTCACGGTTCAACTCAGTCATGTCTGGGCTCTCGACCTTCAACATCCGCCTAGCACCTGCCATATCTAAGTGCTGAAAGAAAAGAAGGCTGTCTACCGTGATTTTTCTCTGATTCGTGCTGCCAGCACAGTCTCACTCTTGAGCCAAAATGTTCCGGTGGGACATTTTGGTGACTTTGTGAACATAAAACTTGCACACACAAGCTACATGCAAGTTAGCATACATGCAAGTACAGCTACTAGACGGCTAATCTCTACACCCAACCAACCACCAAAAAAAGCAACAAAGCCTGTCAGCGAACAACCAACCTGAGCTTTTCAATTTGCCGTAAAACTCTAGTCCAGGGTTTTCAACCTAGCCATAGCAGCTAAGAAATCTCCCACTTCAAAACTGGCTGAGCTTGTGACCAGGCCCGAGCGACCCCGTCCCTTCGCCATGGCAAAAAGAATGTTCTCAAACGATTTTGGTCTTAGACAGCTCGAGGTGTTCATCTTGACATCTGAAGCTGCCTGCTGATCCATCTTACAAAATGTCCGGCGGGGTCTTCCTCTGAGCAAATGCTGCAGGACGACATTCAACAATAGCATGCTCGCGACTCAACTGGCCCTCTTGGTGCAGTCATTCCGCTTGGAGCCACTATTCCTTATGTCATTGTGTCAGATTGCGTCATAATGCGTCAATCACGAGGAAAAACTGATGGTAGACCCGACACAAGCGCTCCAGCAGGTCCCCTCCGCGGCATGGCTCCATGATCAAATAGAAACACCTCAGTCCAAGGATTCGATGGATTTTGGGTGTCCTTTTGAAGACACCTCCAAATTGAGCGCCCCACAACACAAACAACTATTTCCACTACAGGAAGCAGTCCGAATGTCATTGTACAACCTCAAGCAAAGGTCCTTCAGTTCTGATACAAATGCATATATTGTCAGGTGCCGAATATAATCCCAGTCACTGCTCATCTTCAAAATCTTCGAAGATTCGCACCTAAGATTTCAGAAAGGGACAACTCTTGCCAGCATGGTTTCAGGATACCAGACTTTGAAGAATAGCAGACCGTCATGGAAGTGAAGAATAGCAGACCTCTGCTTTGTCTGCCAATCTTCCATCAGACTTTGCCACTGGTCTGGTTCTACTGCGGAAGCCCTGGGCTACGTTTTGAAACAGCAGACTCGCAATGAGAGCCTCGCGTCTATCGCCTTCCGGCTCCGCATGTTTCATGCAGCTGGCGAGGACTTCTTAAAAGGAAGACTTGGCCAACAGAGCATCATTGACAAGCTTTCCAAAAGAATGTCCGCTCAAAAGAAATGTCAAATCATCTTGGATGCGTTTGGACATGACTTCGAGCCTTTGTCGATGCTCAGACCATTTGGTTTGAAGACATCATGAGGCCAAGCTCAACCCTCAAGGCCTCAAAGTAGTTGCTACACTGGTCGTCAGAGACCCCATTAATGAACAGGAAATATGCGCGCTCTAAAACCCTGTTCTCAAGATCAGGCGTCAATCCGCCCCGCTGCGCGGTGATCACCATCTCATCGGTAACCTACAGCACCAGAAATTGCGTTGGCTGCTGCTTTCTTCAAGAAGTGGGAAATCTTTTGCCAAGTCAAAAGGACATAAGAGTACATGCGATCCTATACCCACTATGACAGTCCATCAGTCCATCCATCAATTGCAGCTACGCTGCTTCACATGTACCGTAGTAGTGGTAACCATGCTTCTCGTTCGAGCTTGGGAGGTTCTCCCAGCTGCCACCTTTTTTGGGCATGGCTCCGCTGCCCGGAGCTGGGATGGCTGTGGCTTCGCCTTCAACCTTCCAGCTCCTTCGCCTCGAGTGAGAAGACCTGTGGGAGTCGTGAGGGCGGGAAGAGTGATGCTTGTGATGCTTGCCATGCTTGTGATGTCTGTGATACCTCACGAGCTCCTCGGGACAATTCAGAGTCGTTTGCAATTGTTGAACATGTTGAACTGGTAAATCAATGGGCTGGTTCTGATGGTTGTCAGCCTTGTCAGCTGGGTGTTGCGCCGTTTCCACTTTTCCACTGGTGCTCTCGTGGTTGGGTCTTGCAATCTGGTACAAATACCGGGCGAAAGTTGCAATGGGGTTCTGGTTTCCTTGCTCTCTCGCCGGACTCACTGGTTCCTTGTGCTCAGCAGCTGCACAGCTGGACTGTTGGACCTGAGGCTCGAAGGCGCATGAATCAAGCTCTTTCCACACCAGGAATCCTGCAGCATTGGATGCAGAGCCTTCTTCGAAGCGGACAGCATTTTGGCTTTCGACCTCTTGTTTGAAGCCCTGCGATCTCTTTTCAACCGTGAATGGCCCAACGCAAGGTTCAGCCTCTGACCGAGTTGCTGCAACCGGTGAAGACGGCGGCAACTCACATCCCCGCGATCCCCGCCGCGTCTCCCGCACCATAGTCCGTGAAAGCGGGAGTGTAAGGGTATCTGACGCGTGAGAACCTGGAGACTTGCTGTTGGGAGACACTGCCTGGAACTGTTTCGAGTTGACTGGGCTGGAAGGACTGCTGGCTGGACTAAGTAGAGGGACCTCGCGGATGTCCACTTCCGCTGAAAATCGCAAGCATAACTTTGGTCTTGTCTCCAGGTCGCCCTCTGTCTTTGCTTTCTTAAGAATACTGAACCGCGGCCGATTCACAATCTGGCCCAACTCCTAGCAGCTCAAGAGGAGTTACTGTCGTGCAAGGGAGAATCTCTACGCCTACGGTCTACCTTTGATTGCTCCAGCAAAGAGCTGAGTGATGTTGTTTCGTATTTCTAGCACCACACTCATCGAGCACCATTCCCAGAAAATCCACCTGAGGGTCACCGCATCACCTGTTTTTAGTCTTTTAGTCACAAAGTGGAGCACGCTTCCAAAACTCGTTCCTACAAGGTGAGACCCGGCAGTTATAAAAGTTAAGATGAAGTACAAGTTCACTATAGTGCACTATAGAGCACTATAGCTTGCTAAAGTTCCGGATAACTAAGTTATGACATTTTTTAAAAAAATGACCATGAAACACCTGTTGAGCTGCCTTCTTTATTCTCACTGCCAAGGCTTGTACTTGTTGCGATGGCACCACCCTCGAAGTCTTTGACAGCACTTGGCCCACTTCTGGCAGCTTCCGCAGCTGGCTGATTAGCGATCTGACCTTCAAGCAACCTT